ACTGACTTTGCATTTTGTAAATTGATAAACATAAACAATTACAATATATACTTAAGAAAGCATTCTTACTTTATAGCATTTTTTCACACCTGCCTAAAACTTTTGCACAGTACTGTATATATATCAATATATACACACACACCATATACATATACACATATACATACACACACACACTGTATATATATGGTGTGTGTGTGTGTGCATGTGTGTGTATATATATAGTATATATGGTGTGTGTGTGTGTATATATATATATGCATATATATATGCATATATATGGTATACACACGCACATACACACACACAGCTTAGGCTCCTTCATCTTCATTTCTTAATGTTACAATGGACAGAAAAGAGTGCAACAGTTTTGAAGAAGAAGAAAAACTCTTCTGGGTATAGTTGTTAGAACTTGTTAGAACTTACTTTTTATTAGATGGAAGGTGTAATGAAGCAAAAACAACTATTTCTCATAACAACGATGCTTTACAAAATCATCATGACACTAAAAGGGCAGAGATACATGAAACACAAAGTACAAAAGCGCCTTTTGTGAAAATACCTTATTTTTGCCTGTTTCCTCCTGCAGGTTCATCCCTGCATGACATATCTCACACTGTCAGAGAAGGAATCCCCAATTTTTAAAGGGTCTCATGGGATTGCAGAAGGGAGGAAGAAACAAGACAACATAATTCAATGAATAGAATTCCATTCCATGATACAAACTTCTTTACTGGGGAGGGATTGATTTGATTTGAAGAGAGAAATGCTTTATGACTATCTTTCTGCAGGTTTTCTGTTTGCTAACTTCCATGTTCGAGAACGAAATTGCCTTAATGGAAGTTAATGTTGCTGCTTTGTTGAGATGCCAACAGAATGGCCTCCTTTTAAGTGGAAGGGAGGAAGGCCTTTCCACTGTTGCAAGGTGAAGGATCGTTTTACTTAACTTCATTTAAAGTTCAGTTCCCTTTATTTGTTGATGTTATTTCTGCCATCTTTATTCTTTTTTGTAGTTTCCTTGTTTTAAAATCTTTTTAATAATTTGTAAATTTCCCAGAGTCACTGGGAGTCAGGTGACATATAAATTTAATGAATATTAGTATTATTATTATTAATAATAATAATAGTTTGAATTGTTCCATAGAACTGTGTGTAACAGGTTGAAATAAAATCTGATTAGCAGAACAGTTTGGTACCTACCAACTCAGCTATTCTGTTTTGTGATGTCATGTGATATTATCATATCACTGCCAAGATCTTTGTGACCTTCAAAGGCTAAGATGAAATTTAAAAAATAAAAACAACAAAGTGCTGCTTCTAGCGCAAAACACATTGCTTTCTCCTATATAATGTTACAGTTTATGACTGGGAGCCATGTCTTGGGGGGACCCATGTCATACCAAAATATAGGATTAAAATGTGTGTTAATTAAACATTATTATTACAAATTTAAAAGAAGTAACCCAAAGTGAAGAAAACAGAAACAAGCAATTTCTTTGGGATGTTGGTGATGGTTTTGCTAGTTGAAATTAATAATTTTGGCATTTAAACCATAGATAGCCTACTATGGATGACAATATTGTAAACACCAGCTAAAGCATCCCCAAAGTCTCTTATACCACTGAAGTACTGGAGCTAACATTTAAAATGATTTATTTTCTTTATCATTATTGACACTGTTTACTGTTATTTTGTTTTGTTTCCTAGCTGTGGAAGTGAGACTTTAGGCTAATTTCACTCATATTTATGAAATGAATTGCTAACAGACATAAGCAATTGTGTATCTAGGTAAAATTTTTACTTAAAAATATTGGAATAGTAAAACATCTTTTCTCACAACTGTAAGATTAGAAAATACATCTTTTTGTGGCATAATATACAGGTAGTCCTCATTTAGTGACTGCCTTGTTTAGTGACCATTCACAGTTACAACGGTGATAAAAAAGTAACTTTGCAATCAATCCTTGCATTTACAACCTTTGCAGGTCTGTAAAGCAAAGAAAAGCTGAAGTAAGATCACTTAGCGACTGTTTCACTTAATGACCAAGTTGCCAGTCCCAATTGTGGTCTCTAAATGAGGACTACCTGTAAGAATATTCTTAGTGTTTATGGAAAACAACAGTAAGTGCCATTTATACAGCATTTTAAATCACTGAATATATTTAATGTAGGTTATCTCTGATTTAGATTATCTAATTATAAAATTATAGTATTTAGATTGCAATATCCAAGTAAGGTAAATGACTGGTGGATAGGGACCTGAATCCAAGAAAGTTGCTTACTTAAGATCACCTTGTCAATTTATGGCAGCAGATTTCCTGATTCATTGCTCATTCACTCAGCTATTAACCTGCTCTAGTGTAGCACACATATATCAAATAAGATGTGATTGCAAAAATGTATCAAATAGGGAAATCCTTTATTCTGATGGTGCATTTTGAGCTGTTCATAGATATGTACTATGGGTGACTGCGATACCAAAAATCTAATACTGTCTATAGTGAATTAACCATTTATTCTGAAAGCAGTATCTCTAGTATTGCTCTTCTGTCAATGGTTTATGAGTATTTTGTAGTGATAGATATGTAACTATATCTCTTGTTTGTGGATTTAGATGTCCTCTTCTTCTGACCTCTCCCTTGTATCTGAAGAAGGAAAAACCCAAACTTGTAAATAAAAAAGGTAAACTTGTTAAACTTTAACACAACTATTTTTGCTTTTTGCCATTTCTTTTTCTTATATTAACACACCTTTATAGTATTTACTACATTTTAAATGTTAGGGTATTTGACTTTCTTTTCCTCGTAAAAACCTAGGATGTTGGGTATCTAGTATGCAAGACAGCAGAGAAGACTGTTCTTTTTCCTCCTTCAGATCAGAGGCAGGACTGGCAATAAATTACCTATGCTTCATGGAAAGGAGGCCCTTCCTATCTACCGATCTTCCTACTAACTCCTGTTGAAAGGCAGATATTTTTTTTCCCAGCTACTTTTGAGTTTCCAGTTGGGATTTAAAAAAAGAAAAAAAAATCCTACATTTTTTCCCCCTTCGCCATCCTCATCTTGACAAAAGAGAATGAAGAGTCATCAGAATGGGTATTTCGTATGCAGTTAGAGTGCCCTGTCACTGGCTTTGGATACATTCTGACACAGACAAGCTTGCAAGGCACAACTTTCCTTCTGCAACTCTTAAAATGTGAAATTTCTAACCCAGAGAAATAAATAGAAAGATATTTCAGAGGAAGTCAGCCGAGCATCCAAATGTTACTCTGTATTTGGTTATCCTTTGTGGAATCACAGATATTCAGATCGAACCCTGTTACCAACAAGAAATGTCCCATTCTTTTCAATGAGAATATATGTGCAAATAGACTTGAATGTATTTTCTCCATTGAAATCAATGGAAAGTACACAGGAAGTCCATGTACCAATCCTCATGCCTAGAACGATATAGCTGAAACAGGTTTTTAAGCCATCGAGTCCAACCATCTCACTATAAGGATCCAGATTAAAGTATCTCTGACAAACAAGTATCACATCTCTGCTTGAAAGAGAGCTCAGCTCATCAGGACCTATCGGTGAAGTGCTCTTATACTTAGAAAACATTTTAAGAACTCAGTTCTGTTGTGTCTCATGCCTTTTGATGTTACACATTGTTTGTCTCTAAAACTCTATGGAAATATTTTTTGAAATAGTTTAAGATTAGCTTAAAATGGTTATTTAAAAACAGAATTATTTAATCTAATGAATATAGTGTGAAGAAACATACTTATATCTATTTGTGTCCATGTAACACTGGAATGGACAGTATTGACAGATCAGATGCTCTTTGCATTAGTGGAAGTCCTCTTACATGATGTATGTGGCTCAGGATATCCAAGGTATATCTCTAGTTTCTCTCTGTATATGTATTCTTGACACTTGGCTATGAAGTTTATATTAACTATAGATGTTTCTTAATTTAGGTACAAAAAGCCAAATAAAAGACCAGCCATTGGTTTTCCATAACAAAATTAAATCATCAGGGTACACATCAACACCACAGTGAGTGCAAATTATGTTGGTAAATTTTAGTTTGAGACTTCTAATAACAATTGTCCTTTTTTTAAATTGAAAAAAAGATTTGGTATATGTAACATAAAATGGGCTGAAGGGTAAAGAACAAAGAGTTTAAAATACTAGTTTAACATAACTAAGGTGTAAAGAAATGTTTGTTTAGAGAATTGGCATATTTTCTGTAATGCTGTGCCGTGTGGATGAGTCTCAAACTTTGTAATACTATGATTGCCTAAAGTGATAAATTAATTTGTATGACTTGCTCATTAATAAAATTGCAATTTTATTCACTATTCACACTTTTATTTTTGAAAGCTGAGTCCAACTACCACATCTGAAGCAATGTTTAATATTTTTTAAATGAAATTAAAATTCTGATTCGGTGCTAAAACAGTTGAATTTTTAAAATTCTGTTCTGCAGATAGAACAATGTTTGTATATTAACCCATTTTTCTATCTTGCATATTTTATTTTGGTTTTGTTAGTGGTGGAATAGAGCCAGAAATGAAGTGTTTCACAAAAGCTCTGTCCTCAACGATATCTGAATTAGGTATCTTTGAGATATCAAGGGGCATTGCCTATATACTTTGAAGCGTATTTTTGTAATCATAAAGGATAAAACCTTTAAAAGATTCAAATTGTGACTCTGTTACTGCTAATCCTACCCCCCTTCTCTTCCATCAGTGGTCAAAATGAATCCAGAATTCATCCGTACATGACATAAGGTCTAGTTATCTGAAGGACTGTCTATCTTCTGTCAAGTCTGCCTGTCCTGTGTGTTCTGACAGGGCTGGGTTGCTTCAGGTCCCATCAATTAAGTAACTTCATCTAGTGGGACCCGGGAATGGGCCTTCTCTGTCACTGCAACTGCCCTTTGGAATAGCATTCCTTGGAGATCTGCCTGGTTCCCACCTTGGCCATCCTTAAGTGTTCTCTAAAAACCTGGCTTTTCCCTCAGGCATTGGGTTGAGATGGATGAACAGACTCCATGAATTGCTAGTCACATGGCAAATGTTTTTGTCCCCTCACAGTCGCTGTTTTACAGCTGCTTTCCTTTGTACTGTACTGTTATTTTTAATTCTGTGAAGCTGCCTAGAGTCATTTGGAGTGGGGGTAGCCTAGTCATTTGAGAGAGAGAGAAAGAGAGAGAGAGAGAGAGAGTTATTTGGAGTGGGGCAGCCCAGAAGTTTTATATAATGCTGTTATAATATTTACAAACACTTTCAAATTTCCAGAGACTACTGCACAACATACAAGAAGGACTCTCATTCTTGATATAGAAAGTAGTAGTTGACTAAATAATAATAATAAAAAACTCCTAGTTTTATGCATGTAATCATGTCCAAGGATCACATTATATATTGTATTAAATTCACCCATGCATTTGATGTGCAAGTTTTTAAAAATAAAATTGCATTAGAGTAAAGAGTTGATCATTGATTAGAGGATGGGGCAGGTATTAATTCTCCCTTCTTTGATATGGGCCTGAAAAAAATATTTTTTCTGATGCTGGGATTTGCTGGGTAATAAAGTACTAAATATTATCATCTGTATTAGAGCCTTTTTTTTCTGTTGTAGCATGATCATGTTCTCTCCAAATACAAAAGTAAAGCAAAACAGGTTGACATCAGAATGCGAGAGAAGTTGCAGACGGTAAGTAGTACAATTGTTAAATGAATAAAAAAGCACGTATGGTTCCAAAAACATATTAGCATTATCCTGCAGTTATAGTATAACATAACCAAGAAAAGTGTTAAATTTATTTCAGCAATTTATAACTAGTGGTATATCTGCCACAATTTAAAACTAGTGCTATAAGAAGAAATACTAAATCTTCTTTATTCATGCTTCACTACTTGTTCTTTTACCTTTTTAATTTTACTATTTTTTGTATCATTATTATTATTGAAGAAGAAATAAGGAAGACTATCCACTTGGAAAATCACCTCCAACCAAAAGTGAGAGGCAAATTACTGTAACTGATAAGCCAACTGCTATATGCTGTATTCAATATTCAGGTACGAGGAGGAAAATAACAACTTTCCATGGATTATAAACTTTAATGGATATTTGATGTGGCACTTGGTAGCCTTGAAGCTAGCCAGTTTTGTGTTTCCATAATGGCCAAGTCTGGCCTGGGACTCTGTCTGTCTATATTATTTGGTATTTTTTTATTTATACTAGATTAATTTCCTGTTCTCACTGTTCTAGGAAATGGAGAGTTATTGGCTTGTGGTTTAGCTGACAAAACATTGCTGGCATTCAAATCAAACCTTATAGGAGAACCAACTGTTTATTCAGGTAAATTAATTTTAATCTTTTCTATTCTTAGCTATCCTTATTTCTTTGTCCTCTGATCCAGCATGATAATGACAAAATCAAAGTTCCAAAGAATAGGACTGAAATGGTCAGAGGAAATTCAACAAATTTTCTTGCATTTATGTAAACAATAATAAAAATAGAAGAATCAAATACAAACTAGAGAAGAACTAGTTAGGAGCTGGCCAAGTGACAATGACTAACGAATTAGCTTAATATGTATATGAGCCAGTAACATGATTGGCTGCTAAAAAGGCAAATGTTGTCTTAACAGAAGCACATTATACAGGTCACAAGGATTAATAATTCCACTTTATTCTACATTAAATAAAGGCATAGGGAGAACATTACCCAGGCTTGTCTCCCTTATTTTAAGGACACATATTTCACCTTCATGGCAGCAGAATTGTTTCCATAGGTGGTAGCCCCCAGAAGGAAATGTTTTTCTGCAGGGAAGAAAGTTTGCCCTTTATTCCAAAAATTATTCTCAGGAGAGGTTTTAAAAAGTGAGGCTTGTACCATTTATTCTTAGCTGACAGAGATTTCTTAAGATTAAAACGGAGAATCTTTTTATAAAAAATGGAATTGGTAAGTAAAGTATCACTGCTGAGTGCTAGGGGACAGCCTGGGATCTTTAAGTATATTAACATTAGCAATTTCAACTAAATGTACATGAAGTTATAGACACTGGATGTTCTATCAGGGTTTTATTTATATTTTTTTCTCATGATATCTCCAATTCAGATAGAGCAGGAATGGGCAGCCTATAAGCCCCAGAGGGACCATAACTCCCTTTTTTGCAGCTCCATGCTCCCTGAAATTCTGCTGTTTAAATTCAAGCAAACCCCAGTACACGGAAGTACAGTTTTACACTGACTTTTGTTGGTGAACAAAACAGACGCCTATAAACTATTTGGTAGGCTTCATACCTAGAAAAGGAAAACACCAAAGAACTACCTGTACCCCCTCCCCTTCTCTCCTTTGCGAAATAATATCAATTAATACCTCAACCACTGCATGTCTTGGCTGCCCCCCCTCCCCAATGCATAAGAAAATGTATGTCCCACTACCCTGGATACTGAAAATTATCTGCCCTGAGTTAAAGCCCCAGGTCTGCATATGGTTATTTTTCTTTATAAAAATTTGCTTTTCAATTCCTTCTGTATGAAATATAGTCTAGGAAAAGAAAAAAGCACCAAATTTAGGAATGATATTATTTGGTCATGCAGTCATAATTGCCATTTGACTAATGCCCCCCTCTCCCCCCAAATACCCTTGTTAGGTAGTCTCTGTATGAATTTATGAGTATGCACAAGAGAACATCAGTATTTCTGTATAAAAATACCTTGGATTGTATCCAGGAGTGTAATGCTGGATGTTTTTTTGGTGCCTCAGAACATCCTACAGTTTTAGAGGGAGGAGGGGAAAAGAACAGTGCAACGTCCCATTTTTTCCCACAGAAGTACAGCTGATATGAGATTTTACCTTGTGATTTCTCAAGACTTTATAATCAATTTTGTTTTCAGAAATGTATTTATTTTCATTAGGACACGATGGTGCTATTACCTCAGTTGGTTGGAGCCACGACAACAACTGGCTTGTTTCGTCTTCTGAAGACAGAACATTAAGGATCTGGTCAGTTAGCAGCGCAGAACCAGCTTTATGTCTGGTAATTAACTAGCCTTTTCAAATAAAATAGATTTGGGATACTCTGTAGGCCACTTGACCATCCCAATCATACTGAGTATATACTGTATATTTGGAATATGTTGCATATTAATATCTTAGTAACTTTGAAAAAAAATCAAGCGGTATTTCACATTTTAGTTACCAGGTTCATAATACCAATTTGTGTGGCTTACAGTTCTTGGGCAGCTTTGGGCCACCCTATGTTTCCTAATTTTTAGAATAGATATGAAACTTGCATACCTCACCAGGTCCACCTGAAACTGTGATTCCTGGTAGTCCTCCTAAGGGTTCAAAGCAGATTTTCTTTTCTAGATTTATCTTAGTCAAGGTCAAGACATTGGTACCAGTGGAAGTGTTTCTCCAAAGGGAGGCTCAGCAGAAGGCTGGATGCTGTCTGTCACCACTGAGAAGTGTGGATATTTATCAGTGCTTCTCATCCTGTTTGCATGGTTCCAGAAACATAGAAAATGTAGATATTTGCTGATTGTATTAAAGTTTCCATGACTGGTGCTCTTGTCAGAATGGGGTTCCTTTGCATACCCAAAGGATTCTTCTATTGCAGCCTTTTGCCCATCATTGGTGCCACCAAATATGAGATTGCTCCAAGGTTAGTATCTTCTGTGAGACCCCTTTTCATAGCTGCCCTATTATCACCCTGCCTGAACAAACAAACAAGCAAAAACCTGACAATAGGGAGTTGTTTCTTCCTCACCATCACTTCCAACTTCCTGGTCTGGGACCACACTATTTTTTAAAAAGGCCGCCCCAGTGAACTAGTAAGGGTGCAGCTATACATCATTTTACATTATTTTCTTACTTAGTACTAGTTGAACTAGCCAAATTTGCCTTTGGGATTGCTGGAACAAGAAGGAGTGGACCTCTCCCTGTTCTTGCACTTTGATTGACTCACCTTAATGCTTATCTCAGGAAAATTGTGCAAGTCTACAGACTTGTCCAGCTAACTGGAACATGGCTTTCTTTTATGCTGTGGCCACCGGATCACTGTATGTGGGATTCTTGGGTTCTTTTGGATTGTAGGTCTGATGTCTATAAAGTCGGGAAGCACCTAAATCTTATAAATAAATCAATAAATGTCTTCCCCTCAAATTAGTCTTGGGGCTATTTTGGGTTATGATGAAGCTTTATCATCATAAATATATATTCATATATTTATAAGGCCAGATTTTGAGTTGGGGGAAGTCATAGTTAAGTTTCGGGAAGGAGCTCACCAATCAATGCTGAGAATATTTTTTTTGTCATTTTTATTCATGTATTCCTTAAGATCGCTTTGCCTATTATTTTCCTTTTCTATTTTAGTTCTGTTTTTATAGTTTTTAATATTTTTAATAATTACTACATAAGAGTTTAATGTAATGATTGTTTAAATAGTTAATATTTTATTGGACTGTTGTATGCTGCCCAGAGTCACTTTTTGTGAGATGGGCAGCTATATAAATTTGATTAATAAATAAAAAAATCCTTCAATATTTGCACTATTAAAATAAAATCAGAATACCAATCATCTAATAATGTATTACAGTGGAAAGAAGTGGCCTTGGAAACAATATACATTTCCTAAGTCTTATACTCCAAAATTAACATGACATTCTTTCTCTGTTTGGTTTGTTTATTTAACATTTGCAATGCAACTTTTTATTTAATACTTTCTCTGTCTCCCTAAATTGCTAACTACAAAGCAAAAACAAACAAAAAGGGGAAAAGATGGGATTTAGGTTGACAAATCCTTTTTTTCAGTGAGAGTAAAAACATGTGACCAAATTCTTCCATCCCTCATTATGAGTTGAATTGATTATGCTGGGATATAAATGCAGTAAATTATAAATAAACAAGTAAACAAACCAATAAAGAAATGATTGTTGGTATACTGGCTAAGTCTATTGGAGTTGGAGTTTCATAATATTCAAAGAGGTTTGCCAACCCCTGGCTTAGGGCTTGACTAATATTGATAGACGTTGCCTTAAACTGCATTGAAAAACAATGTTAGATGAATCAAGATTCGTAATTTAAAAAAAAATCTTCAGTTAGAAAAATCATCTAGATGACAATATTCTATAAATAAACCACCTATGTTTTCTGAGAATTACAGCATATACAATATTTATGTTGCATTTTTAATTGCAGGGAAAGGAAATATTTCATAAATCTGTCCGATCAGCCCAGTTTTATTATATAGATACATTCATATTACTGTCCTGTGGAGCAGAATTTTATTTGTTAAGATACTATCTTGACACCAGCAAGGATGAGATAAAACGGTATGTAAAAGTGTAGGATTATGTTTAAAGTAGCGTTAACAGACAATGTAATGCTGATGATATTTTGTTAGCATGTGCAAGTCCATTCAGTAGTTCTTTAAACAGTATAGGAGCACTACTATTAGTGCAAAAAATAGTAAGATGTGAGATTACTTGTGCAGCTGCTTTCAGAAACAGAAGCATTGGTGAAACAGAAACATTCTAGTATTAGTTATAGCTGTTAAGATTGTACAGGTATTACGTATTCATTATGTATGCTGCAAAATATCTAGATGGGAAGAGGAAGTAATAAATACTGTAATTGGAATCTTTGCATAGTTACTCAGACACACACACACACCTTCCCGAAAACAGAGGAAATGCTTCATATTAGTATTACCTTATATAGCAAAATGACAATGTCTTTTGCTGTAAATAATAATAATATTTAAATTATTAAAATGAAAATGAAGAATGTTCCAAGAGGGAAGATTGAGTCTGTTCAGAATTATTTTACTTTATTTTATTTTTGCATGATATCAGATTTAATTTTAAAACTGTTGTGGAATTATTACTGTTTTTTTTTTCTTTTTCCTTTCCATTATATTATTTCTAGAGTTATGAGATATGTAGTGTTACCTCTCTGCAGAAGGATGCATAACATTGCAGCAGTTTAATTAATAGAGTAATCAGTTAAAGCTACTATTTCTTAGGTAAATAGTTATTCTTAAACATGAAAGCAAATTTTTAAGGCTAACTTGGAACAATATTGGTATTGGAACAATATAAGAAAATAAAAAAGATTAAAGTTGGCTTTGTCTTCTAGCTAAAAATGTTACATTATTTCAAAATGGTTTTAGAATTCAGTGTGGTATGTATACTTATGTAAGCATTACTGAACAGTACTTATCAACTAATCAATTAAAAGACAGTCAAGTAAAGATATTTATGGGGTAGATTGTTTTAACTGAAAAAGAAAACAATCAGTAATGAAAGAAAATTGAGATGATTGATTTTACTGATAAATTAGAGCCATTTCTCATTGGACTTATGAAATTACAGTATAGGGAAGACTAACAAAATAGCTATTACATTACGTTACATTACATTATAGTAATCATTTATGTAATATCAATTTCCCATCATTTCTTCCATGTTCGTATCACTGTGCTATTTCTCTCATTTCTGCTATCTGATGAGTCAGATTTGGAAAAATGCTGAAATGGAAAAGATTTTGTGGGACGTAGACAAAAACATGAGTAATGTGTTAAATCTCTCAAGTTAAAGTTATAATTTATGGTGTGGTTTGAATTGTGATAGCTCATTCACACCATCATAGTTTCTGTATTCTTCAAATAATGGACACACTTATGTGTAGGCCACACAGCATGGGACTGAATTTCATAATGTGACTGTTGTCTTGTTTCTTCCATAAATTAGGATTTGAGTGGGAAGGTTCCATAGCAAGACTGCAGCATGAAAACAGAGGAACTCTTTATGCCTTGCTGCGCTCCTGATCCAGACCAGTTGGTCTAGACCTACAATTTGCACTGCAAAATAAAATCAAAATAAATGGGAGCTTTACTGTATTGCAAATTGCACACAGGACTCTTGATTCAGTTAGACCACCGTGATTTAAAAAGAGTAAAAATCCCCCCCACACACACACACACATACACTTTCCCCTCCCTGCCTGGTTCAGGAGGTTTAGGCAGGTAATTTATTGGAAGAAAAACCCACCCATTCTTTTTGGCAACTCTGTTACTAAAAAAAAAGGTTGCCTTAAAAACAAACTGGAGAAAAATTGTACTGTAGGTGAGAGGAAAGGAAAGGATAATCCCATTGCATAAGCAGATAGCGACTCACATCATGTTGGACAGGACCCAGAGTATGAAAGAAGTACACAAAGAGTGGAACAGAAGAATTTGACACTTTAACTATCAAGCTGAGTTTGCATATATTGTACAGGATCAGCTGAAATTCTTTGTCAATTGTCCCAGTATAAGTCTAGGAAAACAATATTTTACAGTGTGCAGAAGAGGAACTTTGACTTTTGCCATTGGGATGTATGCATAATTCTTAAGCTTTGCAGATCTTCTTTAGATAAAATGTATGAATTATTTTAATAGGTTAAAGGAAAAATCTATATGTAACTTAATATAGTACCTGATGCATGTTAATGAAAATATGGAAAGCAAAGATCTGTACTTCTTTTTTTAATGATAGCAGAAAACATACTTTAAGAAGATCGTTAATTTTTTGGTAAAATATTCTGAACCTATATCCCCTCACACTGGAAAAGGCAAGACTACAAAAGATGTTAAAGGCTTTGAAATATGGCTTGGAGTAAATATGGGTTTTATTTTCACTGTTGCTTCATGAATCTACAAGATATGTATTTATGCGATTTATATTATTGCTGCAGATACAGAACTAAGAGTTTTTGCAAGTCAATACAGAAATTTCCAGTGTCGTCTACAGTGGAAATTACCAGTCTTTCAGCAGTAAATGAATTCTATTCCTGTATCCTCTTACTATCATTATTGTTGTTGTTATGCAAAAGGCATTAGTTCTTTACTTAACTAGAATTCATTATTGTAATAGTAAGCAAAAATAATAAATATAATCAAAAGCAATATTATGGGCTTCCATATTATGGTAACCATTGTCATGCTGTAAAATCATTAGTGACCAAAATCTGGGAACGTGTACAATCATATACTTGTATTGTGCTGGCTGTGGAACTCCACGCCACCACCTCTGTCTCCTCTTCTGTTAGAGCTTGATACTCCTAAATTATTTAAATACAGTAGATATTTTCCCTGACAAATGAAAGCCTGAAAATACTTACTGCCATACCTGTAACATGTAATTATCTAACAGAACTTTAACTTACAGAAATTACAGATATTGTATTGGCAGCTGGGAGTAACCGAGCACTAGAAATATTTGACCTCAATGTGGGCTGTAGTGCAGCAGTGATAAGAGATGCTCATGCTAAATCAGTTCACCAGATTTGCCAAAATAAGGTAGGCATGATATCTTTATTACCATTGTTTACAGAATAAGTGCACATAAGAACAATTTTATGATTAAATAACTTCAAACTTTGCAAAGGTTAACTTGATTTATATTTTAAATGCCTTTATCTTGGTTGGGAAAATGTCTGCTACATTGGATGGTATGCCTGTGCAAATTATTCATTTTAGTTTTTCTCCTCTGGATCTGCTTGTGGAGCAGTTATAACCACTCAAGGTTCTGTGACTTCTTTGAGGCTAACTTGTAGGAAATGTGTTGTGAATTGGAGAATTGAACCCAGCTTCTGTTTTCAATTTGAATATGTGGCATCTGCAACAAAACCTTGCAGTATGGAGAATTCCTATCCAGAGGTTCAGCTAGCCAATTGTGTTTTCCCCCCCAAGATACTAGTTTTCACTTCCCTCAATTCCCATCTTAATTTTCCTTGAAAATCAGTTAGCATTCTATGGGCACTGAATATATTGATTGTTCACTGAAATTGTTATAATGTCCTACTCTCCCTCCCTCCCTGTTTTTTTTCCTTTCTTTTGTAAATGCATGTTTGTCTTGTACCTTTGGAAATCATAGGTTTCTGGAGTTTTCCAGTATGCATGTCGGGGCTGTTTGGCTACATGGAACATAGAAATGCATTCAGTATTATTGTCGAGGGCACAATCTGCATATTGCAATCCTTCCAAATGCTGTGAGGAATTCAGTGTTGTTGAACTCAGTGATTTGGCATCTGTTTTGTCAAATATTTGTCTTCATGAATACCCCAAAACAGAAGATGTGCACGATATTGTGATGTGTTTGACACATGATTTTTTTTAAAAAATGTTCCAGAACATTATGCATACTGAATGCATTTCTATGTTCCATGTAGCCAAACAGCCCCGACATGCATATTGGAAAACTCCAGAAACCTATGATTTCCAAATGTACAAGACAAACATGCATTTACAAAAGAAAGGAAAAAAAACAGGGAGGGAGGGAGAGTAGGACATTATAACAATTTCAGTTCCAGGAAAGTTTTAATAGATGCTGTATTTTTGATCCAGAGATTCCGTTGCTTCATGCTCAAGTACCATAGGTTCCCCTACCATTATTCTTCATCAAGCATGTTTGAAATTCCAGTGAGTTGCAAAAGCTACTAGGTGCTGTTCTATTAGCATACAAAGGATTAAAAAAAAAAAAAGCTCTGTTGCACAGATGTAACTGGTAAACTGCAGATGCACCAGTGAGTTCCATCCCCTGTCTTTAGTTTTCTGAAATGTTAGATAAATTATTTTATGCTCCACTGGTAAATGTATTATTTCAGTATGTTTCTTACAATTAATTTGCTTACTGATTTGCACCCCAGTCTTAAACACTATTATTAGGAGGCAGGTCCTGTTGGTTTCAATTCCCAAGTACTCAAGCTTAGATCAAAAATTAAGAAAATTAAGAAAAAATTAAATACATCTTTGAAAGCTAATTGCCCTAAAATTTAGACTTGTTTTTTCATTTTAATGACATGAAACTAGATCATACTCTTAGAAATTTGCTACAGAGAGAATTGTAGCAGTGTCAACTCCATAATAGGTTATATATCTGTCATGTGAAGGGAAGTAAGTCTAAATAATACTTTTCAATACTCCCTTCCTATGTGCTAATTTATTCCATGTTAGTACTATGCATGTTTAGAACAGTATGACATTGTAGATAAAGTATGATTTGGCAGGATGCATGATAGAACCACTAGTTTCCTGTGGTAAAACTTTATTAGGGGACATTTATTTTCATAGATTAGAACTGATTGTTCTTCCTAAGTTTTCCATCTCATGAGTAATGTTTTAAAGATATATTTAGCGTCCTGCAGAATTTTATGTTTAGTAAATATATGCTTCCTTTTCTCATACTACATAAAAGTTGTTCAACAAGTAGCTGTTTGTTTCTGTCACATTGGAGAGGAGAGATATAATTGCTGTTAGATCTTCCAAAATTACATAAATAACATACTAAGGAGTAGAGGAAGTATAATATGAAGTAGCCATAAAGTTTGCTTCATGTATTACTTACTTTATTTGTTAGATTCTTATCACACCTTTCCTCCTCTGTGAAGCAGGTAAGACTAAAAGATAGTAACTGGTCAAAAGTGACTTCTATGGCTAAAGTTGGAAACCTAAGTCTCTCAGCACCTAAGCAAACACTTTAAACACTATTCCACACTGTTTACTGCCCTGACAGGTTTCCTGCTGTCAGTAAACTGTAAAAGATACACACATATTCTTTAGGCTTGATGATTATAGTGTCGGAAGTTTATATATAGTCAGGTCCAGAAATATTGGGACATCGACACAATTCTAACATCTTTAGGCTCTATACACCACCACAATGGATTTGGAATGAAACAACACAATGTGCCTTAACTGCAGACTGTCAGCTTTAA